CCTCCCTGCTGTCCCCACACTGACCCTGCCCTCCCTGCTGTCCCCATGCTCACCCTGTCCTCCCTGCTGTCCCCCAGCTTTGGCCTGGCCCCCGCAGCTCCTCTGCAGGTGCACGCGCCGCTGGCCCCCAACCAGTCAGTGGAGATCTCACTGCCCCTCAACACTGTGGGCTCCGTCATGAAGATGGATCCTCTCAACAACCTCCAGGTGGGGCACACGGGGGGGTCTCCCCTCCTGGGGAGCTGGGGGTGGGGCAGGGTCCTTTGGAGAGAGCTGGAGGGAGGTGTGACAGCAGGAACTGGCTCCAGAGGKGTGGCATGGGTCACTTTGGGGACCTGCTGTGGGTCGGAGGTGGTGAAATCCCCGTGTCCTCCCACCCCAGGTGGCCGTGAAGAACAACATCGACGTCTTCTACTTCAGCACCCTGTACCCCCTGCACATCCTGTTCGTGGAGGATGGAAAGATGGGTGAGTTGGGGTGTGGATGGAGGGTGCCATCCCAGCCATGGGACCCTCCTGACTGCACTGAGTGAGCCCCCAAATACAGGTGGCTGCCCTGAGTCTGGCCTTGGGGCACTGCTGGAGCACAGGGTGACATCCCTTGATTGCCACGTCACCTGTGCCCCACTCATGTCACCTTTGGGGGTGGCCAGCTCCCTCAGTGCCCGTGTCCTCCCTCTCTGCAGAGCGGCAGACATTCCTGGCCACTTGGAAGGACATTCCCAACGAGAACGAGACCCAGTTCCAGATCAAAGACTGTTCCCTCAACGCAGGTGGGTCCAACCCTCTGGAAAGGACCTGGCTCAGCTCTGGGCTGGCTGCTGGTGACCAGTTYATCCCAGTTATCCCAGTGGGCAACTGGGAGCTCCTCCCCTGTGCTCACCCTCAGCTCGCTGTAGGAATGTGGCAGGTTGGGATGAGATTCCCATTCCATGATCCTGTGATCCCCACTCACTCTGCYTGGTGGGGATGTCCCTGCTGCCTGCAGTGCCCACCCTGGGATCATAAAATCACAGAATTCTCTGGAAAAAGGACCTTTGAGATCATCACCTTCCATTCCCCCAGCACTGCCCAGGCCAYTGCTGACCCRTGTCCCCAAGTGTCACATCCATGTGGCTGTTAAATCCCTCCCATGCCACTCCTGCCTCCCCTTCTCATGCAGGAATTTCCCTGAATATCCAATTTAAACCTCTGCTGTGCCGGTGAGGGGAGGAGATGGGGCAGAGCAGGTCTGAGGGGAGCAGGGGGGTCTACCCAGCCCCCTCAGCCCCTCTCTCCCCTCCCAGACTCCGTGAGCAGCAAACTCCAGGGCAGCAACATCTTCACCATCGCCAAGAGGAACGTGGAGGGCCAGGACATGCTCTACCAGTCRCTGAAGCTCACCAACGGCATCTGGGTGCTGGCAGAGCTCCGGATCCAGCCCAGCAATCCCAGCTTCACGGTACATCCCATYCCCTGGGGCAGCTCCTGCCTTCCCTGCCCCTCGGGGGCACTTCCCTGGTGCTGCTGGTGCCAGYCCCGCTGTCCCTCTGGCGTGGGGAGGGTGACACCGCTCCGTGTGAGCGGCTGAAGGGCACAGAGGGGTCCCGACCCGCCCAGCTCCGTTAAACCCCGTCCTGGGAGCGTTCCCTGAGCAGGGATCTACCCACAGCTCACCCGTGAGCCATCCTGGTRTCCTGCTTCCCCTGTCCCCTCCCCGCCTCCCTGGCAGCCTGTTGTCCCCGGGCTGGGAGCAGCTGTGTCACCCTGACTCCTCTCTGTGTCTCCGTCCCCGCTGCCCGCCCGCCCTGGCCGGCCCGCCCGCTCTTGCAGGATTTGGAGGTTAGACATTGCATTTTGCCTGGCTTTGGGCTCTCCCTGGCTGCTGCCTGGATATTCCTCCTTCCCCCTGATRGTTTTCCCTGCCCTGCCAGTCTCCTGCTGCCTCCCTGGCTCTCCCCTGGCACCAGGAGGGTTGGGGTGTCCCCAGCGCTCTCCTGGTTTTGCTGAGGTTGAGGACAGCTGCGAATCCTCATCTTTCCATGAATTTTTCCTGCTTGAAGAGCCAATTTTGGAATCGTTTCATATTTAAGCGAACACCTGAAGGGGCTCATTCCTCTTGGGAGAGGAGGATGTTTTTGGGGAACCTTGGAGCGCCAGGCACYGAATCCAATCCCAAAAGCTGCAATGTTGCCCCTGCCTGTTCCCTGCCTGTGCTGCATGTGGGTGCCTCTTCCCTGGGAGGGCTTTAATGCCTTTTTGCAGCCGAAATGAGGAGCTGGACCCGCCCCGTGGGAGGGCTGCTGCAGCATGCAGGGCTGTGCTTTGGGGCTGGCGGCTCTGCAGCGCGGGGTGGATCCCGTGACCCCGCTGTCCCCTCTCTCCCGCAGTTATCCCTCAAATGCCGAGCACCGGAGGTGTCCCAGTACGTGTTCCAAGCCTACGAGACCATCCTGAAAAACTGAGGTGCTGCTGCAGCCCCTTCTCCTCCTCCTCCTCGTCCTCTTCTCCCTCTCCCGCCCGAGGAAGCAGGGCCGGATCCGTGTGCATGTCCCCTGGGATTGTCCCTTTCCCGGCGGGGCTGGGGGCAGCGCAGGGGGGCAGGGGGGCTGTCCCCAGTCCCTGCATCCCCGTAGCCATCCCCGTGTGAGCCAGGCCGTGTTCTCCTCGCTGCTGTTGCTGCGGGGGGCCGCTCTCCCCCTCCCCAAAACCCCAGCTCCCACTCCTGGCTCTCACTGAGCCGTGTCCAGTGCTGGGTTCAGCATTCCAAACCCTGGGAATGGCGCCTGGGGGCTCCCTCCCAGCTTGTTGGGGGGCCCAAAGTGCTGTGGGGTCAGGTGCCTCTGGCTGCAGATCCTCCAGGACACCTGGGATTTGGGATGGGATTTCCCATCCCAAGGTGGGAACAGCTTTGGCTTCTTCCCCCTTTGAGTTTGTGCCCTTGTTCAGCCCTTCCCAGAGGGTCTCCTTCCCATGGAAGCCCTTCCCCAAGCTCCCAAAAGGACTCGAGGATCCCAAATTTGAGGCTGTACTTGATGTGCAGGCAAAAAAAAGGGCTTTTCCAACCCCATCCAGCCTCCWCTGTGGGGTCGGGAGGGCTCTGAGCATCCCCTTACCCCATCCCCAACCCCACGGTTCCCTCTGCTCCCCCCTGGCACTCCTGGGGGTCCCACTGCTCCATTCCCCCCTGAATCAAGCCATGGGTCCCCCCTCCCTCGAAGCAGGAAATCTCTAATATATGAAAGATAAATATATTGTAACGTTCACTGGTGTGKAGGGAATGTTGAATAAAGGTGACACGGGCCCAGGGGACGCTGCAGGGGTGGCCATGACCCCATGAGCCCAAGGGAAGCAGGGTCCTGGGAGTTTCCTGCCAGCAGTGCAGGGACAGATAAGCCCTCRTTGGGGACAGTGGCTCTGTGGCCTCTGGCACGGTGAGGCCTGACACAGCAAAGGGCCAGGGCTGGGCTGGTGGCCCAGGGACACTGGGCCGGTCACCCTTGGGGACAGGAGGGGCCCGGAGCTCTTGGTTTTGCTCCTGGATGCACCAAGGCCTGAGGTGGCCCTGCACTCCAATGTGGCACCTGGTCCCACCTGGTCCAGGTGCCCCGAGCCCCTCCTGGGGTTGGGGACGAGTGTGGGGTCCCCAGGAGGTGCTGYTGCTCCCTGTGGGGTGGGTGGCAGTCCCTGGCAAGGGTAGGCAGCACTGCCAACTCCTGCTGTGGGACATCCCCCCAGGCAGTGGCACCCCGGCCAGACATGCAGCTGGGCACTGGGGCTGCTCCAGGACACCCCACAGGGCACTGGGGCTACTCTGGGACACCCCACAGGGCACTGGGGCTGCTCTGCGACACCCCACAGGGCACTGGGGCTGCTCTGCGACACCCCACAGGGCACTGGTTTGGCACTGGGAAACCCCACAGGGCACTGGGGCTGCTCCGGGACACCCCACAGGGCATTGGGGCTACTCTGGGACACCCCACAGGGCACTGGGGCTGCTCTGGGACACTCTATGGGGTCACCAGCCCTACTCTGAGGGGCAGGGCGGGTGTCCAGGCACCACAGTGACCATCCTGCTTTGGGACCCCCAAAGTTACASTGGGGTGCTCACCATCAGCATGTCTAGACCTTCCTGGTGACCCACAACCTGCCCTTGGAGTGTGGCCACGTTTCCCTGGGCCAGCAGCCCTGAGGTGAAGGTCCCTGGCCATGGGGCACGTGGGGCTCTGGGGACCTCCCTGAGGGGTCCCAATGGCTGTAAAATGGGTTGCAGGACATTGGGGCTCAGCTTCACCCCAGCTTGTCCCCTCCTGGGACCCCCAGAACCTCCTCCCTTGGGCCTGGGGGGTCAGAATCCCCCTGGACAGATGACCAGACACAGTGGCCTCAGCTCGGTTGGTTTTACTGGCTGGGGAGGGCATGCGGGGCCACAGGGGTGGGGGCACAGCCCTGTCCCACCCTGGGGACATCAACACGAGCTGTGGGCAGTGCTGCAGCCAGCCAGGGGCTGCAGAGGCAACAGTGACCCCTCTGCCCTAAGGGCTGTGGTGACAAAGTGCCTGTCCCCGAGTCATCTCAGGGGTGGGGAAGAGAGATAACAGCCACGGAGGTGATGACAAGAGGCCAAGAGGAGGTGAAGATCAAGATGATGAGAAGGATGTGAAGGCCGAGAGAAGAAGACAAGAGAGAAGGAGGAAGCAGCCCTAAAGAAGAGGAGAGAGAGGAGATTTAAGAGTATGAGGAGGARGATGACAAGAATAGCAAGAAGAGGAGCAGAAGATGAGGAGAAGGTCAAGATGAGGAAAACGAGCGGAGAAGCAAGAGGAGAGAGGAAGAGAGCAGGATGAGAAGGACCGGGTGCTCTCCAGCCCCATTCCCAGGTGCYGGCTCTGCTCTGGCCACCATTGCCCTGACCACACCATGGCCCCCGTGGAGCTGCTCCCCACGGCATGGGGACACCCTCAGGGCCCTTTGGGCCTGGCTGGGGCTGGGGGCTCCGTGTAGGGCCCCCCCAGTGCCAACAGTCACCAGGTGACAAATGTCCCGGCCACCCCAGCTCTGTCTGTCGCCCGGCCGGGTGGTTCCACGCCGGTGCCACCTCCACCCTCCAGCTGTCCCAGGGGCTGCCAGGAGCTGCCATGGCCACCGAGCCCTCACGGCCACGCGTTCTCCTCCAGCCCCTCGCGCTCCCGCGGGGCCCARGGGGGCTCCAGGAGGGAGGAGGGGATGCTCTGCAGAGCCCCCCAGGCYTTGGGGCTGCCGTTGGGGGCTCGCTGGGTGCCCGCCCCGAACCCCCGAGGGGTGGGAATGCGGGAGGGCGTCTTGTGGGGCTGCGTGTCCAGCCGGGGCTTGGCCCAGGGCCGCGGMGGGGGCGCGGGGGGCTCCTCCATCTCCATCAACTCGTCCTCCCCGGTGGCCCAGTCGGTGTCGGAGCCAGGGTTCCCCGGCGTCTCCCGGTTGTCCCAGGAGGCCGGGAAGCAGCAGCTCTCGTCGGAGGAGCTGGAGAGGGTGGAGCGGCGCCTCGCGTCGGCCAGGGAGGGGTTGGAGGGCAGCGGGGGGCAGCCGCCGTTGTTCCCATTATTGTTGCCGTTGTTGTTGCCGTTGTTGTTGCTGTCGCTGCTCCCGCCACGCCGCCCATCCTCGGCGGGCAGCCCGTGCTTGGCGAACACGTTGAGCGAGGAAGATGAAGACGACGAGGAGCAATAGGCCGAGTCGGCGGTGGCGGGGGGCGCGGGGGGGACGCTCTCCGTGTCCCCCAGCTGCTCCAGCAGCCGCGTGTTGGCCAGGAACTCCTCCTCCAGCCGCTGGAACAGCCGCTGCTCCTGCCCGGGCTCCAGCCAGCGCGGGGCCCGCAGCCTCCGCGCCAGCTCCTCGGGGTCCCCGGGGCCGGGCCGGGGGTC